GAGGGCTGCCGTGGACGTACAGAGAACTGCCTTTCTCCATCGCCCCCACCGACATCCGCGAGACCTATTTCGCCGTCTCCGAATCGAAAAGTTCAACAACCACCGAAGCGCCCGTCTCTAGTGCCACCACCGGTACCGACACCGCCTCATCTGAGAGGCCACTCTGTCCAGTTGTGCTATGCACACCCGCGGGACCCCCGTTGGGAAGCCCTGGACCTGATGCGCACGAGCCGTTTCCACTTCGATGGAGAGATCGACCCCATGGCGTTTCTGGAGCGCGCTGAAGAGCTCCAGCAACATTTTTGCATTCCATCGGAGACGATGCTCACGTTGCTGTCGGAAATCCTCACCTACAAGGCGTTGGAGTGGTACCGCAATAACCGGGCCCTTTGGTATTCCTGGGATGACTTTGTGAAGGAGTTCCGGGACTTCTGCTTGCCGAATTACGAAGAAGTTCTGGAAGACGAGATTATTAACCACTGCCAACGACCTAGAGAACCCAGCCGAGATTTTGTACAGGCGATTCAAACCCTTATCCGCCGTCTGGGAGGTATTCCTTGCAAGCCATCCTCCGTCGCCTGTACAGCCACCGGCTGCTGCAGTACCGACAGTACATTCGCCGTGGTGACTTCCGGAGCATCGGGGATTTGGTGAGGCTCATCGACGAGTATGAGCAGCCCCAGAACGAAGTGAGGAGCCGTTCACCAGTCCAGCCGCCGAGCAGCACTCCGACGATGACCCAGATCCCGGCTGCCAGGTATGCTTACGCCCCTGTTGTAGGAAACCGGCCGCCTAGGTTCGAAAATCGTTCCTCCACGGCACCACCGCGAAGGCTGGAGACCATTCGTCCCCCACTACCGTCGTCCAGGCCCGTGCAGCAGTCCACAGGCGCCACTGTCAAAACCGGAACCACCGTCAAGTGCAGGAGATGTGGCGAAACCGGACACTACCGCTCGGGCTGCAGGAAGCCACCCCAACTGTTCTGCTCCAGGTGCGGACGAAGGGAATAATGTCCAGAGAGTGCCCCTGCGACCGAAGAAACGAGCGAGAAGTCTGAGTCATGTCGAAGCCGTCGCAGCACCCATGCAAGCCGACTCGGCCGACAGAAGTTCTGCTCAAGTTTCCCGACAATCGTTCCCATGTGGCTGTCAGCACGTTTATTGTGCAGAAAGTTGCTACCGTGCGACATGGCGACATCGTCCCGCCTGCAGGAACCTACGACCATGAGGTGAAGATCGGCGACGTCCCTGTGAGCGTCCGCGCCGACGTTTTTCCAACCCTCACCACCGCTATGGTCTTAGGCATAGACTTCGTGCGCGTTAACGCCATTGCCATCGACATTCCCCGGGGAGCGCTAGTGTGGAATCGCCCCGCTTCGCGAACGACTTCTGTCGCGTCTACCGCGCTGCCACCCGTGTCCTGTCGATCGGCTAAGAACCCGCGCATCCGATGAGCCCCAAACGGCTCTGATATTGACCAAATTATCACTGATGTCTGCTTTCAGATGGACAACCCCGTGGTGCGCGACTTAGCCGCAGAACTGCTACGGAAAGAAGATCCCGCAGCCGCCGCTCGCCGTCCCAAATCCCGAGGGATCCAGGTCGGGCTCCCCATGGGAACAGCACCCCGTTTGGATTCCCAGGGGGTACAAATTGAAGAGGAGACCCCCGGCCCGGTATGTACTCGTAAACCAGGAGGTCTGTTGGCACTGTGCACGACCGGGTCAATGCCCGTACCCGGCCGCCCCCCCCTTTTGCTCCAGGTGCGGGCTCATCGACACCACCTCCGCCGCATGCCGCTGTCCTCTCGCGGCCTACGACCACCGTCGCTCAGCGGGCTCCATGCACCGTCAACCAGCGCAAGTCCACCACGGAGGTCCCACGCCGTACGGGGTCGCCGAGGAAGTAGGATTCTGAGAAAAAATTCAGAGTGTACAGAAGTGCTATTTTTAGCAATTTTACCAAAGGGCAGTTCGTGAGTTTTCTTTGGAGAAGCCCTGAAACCACCGTAAGTACCATCTTAGGTTTTCTGCCTGTCGGCATATCGGTTTTTGAATCGCCGTCTCCGAACCAAAAACACTTCCACCGTCACCGTTCTTTTTTTGTCGTCACAACAAGTCGAAACCGTCGTGCACGCGTCGTGTATTCCCACTACGCTCTCCTCCCGGGTCGCCGTACCGTTCTCGGGCGATTTCCAGGTTTCAAGGTCGTCTCCAAGTCCAGGAGGAGTCCGTCCTGAATGAAGTCGCCGTCCAGGAGGAAACGACCGTGTCGGACATGTTATTCTTTTTTTGTAAAACCGTTTTGTATTTATTTAAGTTAAGTTTAGCCGTAAGATTTACTATTTTAGCCATGTAGTTGGTGGGAGGGAATAAACCCGATTTATTGTGTAAAATATTTTTTGCCGTTTTATTTTATTATTTTGTTTTAAACATCAGCGGCACTAGTCGTCCCAAGGCTTGGCACCTAGGTACGTCGTCACCACACGTTATCGCCGAGATTCCGGACCGTCTCACCGGAATTTTGTCGCACTGTTAAAATTCGTTTATTCACCTCATCTAGAAAGTTGATAAAAATAAATATTTGTTACAAATATGTGCTTTTTTTATAATTTTGAATATAGAGCATATTTTCCCAAAAAAAAATAATGTTAACCACTTTTCAAAATCATTTTGTTTGAGAACTACCATTCTCTGAATGTAAAGGTTAAAGATTTCATATTCCAAGAATATGTTCTTTTTATATCTAAATTGAAATGAATTTTAGATTTAAGATAATGTATTTACCCCACAACCGAATAAATGTTAACAGACAAATATAACTAATTAATTAAAAAATGGCATCAAAAATGATCCATTGAATTTTGAGGCATTTATGCACTTCGTATGATTTGATTTCGTTTGTTTTCTTGACATTTATTTACCGCTTCCACACTTGACGAAAATGTGAGAATACGTACGTCTTTATTTAATAATGATAAAATAAGAATTATATATACTATTCAGAAAAATGTGTTCAATTGTGGCCTAATCAATAATTTTGGTCCTCTGTTTTGAGGAGACAAACTCATTCAGTTCAAACTAATTTCTACGTGACATTCTTTTGCTGTATAAACATAAACACTTGAACTGAAGCTTGTTATTAGTGCTGAGAGGATATTTTTCCTGTTGGTTATCTGCTTTAAATATATGCAGAGTCTGGGGGGGTTAGGTTTTACACTATGGAGATTATGACAAAAAAGAAAATCGCAAAATCAAATTTTATATATTTTCTAAGAGCAGGATTTCTCGGATTGCACTCCATGAGCAAGGGAAGTTCTCTCGAAATAACCTTTAACCATTTTTTTTAATTGATGCACACTACATGTCTACATGTTTTGATTGATCTGTTCTTAGGCTTTATTTTCTTGCGACGTTATCAGGTTATTATAATTTTCTTGAAATTTTTTAATAATGCTGAGATTCACAAAATTGTATTGTATTGTAGTATTATCTTACAGCCTTAGTATAAAGTGTTCATAAGAAAATTACATAATTGTCACTTTGTCATATTTCTGATTTTTTACATAGAACATCCTGTATTTTATTTGTACATGAAGATAAGAGTAAGTTTTCTCTTTTTTACTTCCCGAGCGTAATCTAAGTAAATATTGTAATGGGGTCCATCCAACGAATTTATGACCCCAAGAGTACGAAAAAATAGGTCGCCCGTCTGTGGTTTGTCGCCTGTCTGTCGTCTACGTCGATTTTATTGGACAGAAAATCAACAAATTTTAGGAGTATTTTAGGAATATCGTTTAGATGATAAAACGCTAACTAAGATTCGTCAAATCATCTCCACCAACAGATTGATGACATCCCCTCATCACTTTGCGTGGTTAAGATTATCTAAATGTTATGAAATATTATACTCATGGTGGCTTATGAATCCACCTTGATTGTAGTTACAATTATTTTACAAATTTTTGTGCAATATTTTTCACGTTGTTTATGTAGACACTGGAGTTCTTGATTTATTCAATAAAATAAATTGAGTCATTAATTTTTTTTTGCATCACTCTGTATAAACAAATCTAAAAAATATGAATGCAAATGCAATAATTTCAAAAGTGTGCGGTATACTTTATTGAACGATAAAAAAAGCAAAATAAAAATGAGAAACGATACTGCAAACCAAACTCAGGCGGCAGTTCTTGGTGCAGGTGGCTGCCTGGCTGCAAGTCATAAATTAGTGGAACGACCAGAAGTGGCCAATTTTGCATTTTGCACAATTTCGGGATCAAATGTGTCAATCAGTCGAAGACGAAATCGTATTTTTGTAATAACCATATTAAAACAAATAAATTTTCTTTTCCGTTATATTTAGGCCAGGGGGTTCCTTAAGTTCGGGGGCCTGATGGTCCAGCATCACAAGCATATCCGTATAAACCGTCTCTGCACAAATACGGACATTGTAAAATATATTTGCAGCACATTATCAACGGGAATAGTGGTATCTGAGCAATATGCGTCGTGTTTAAAATGTTGAGGTTTATACATTGAAAGAATGTCACGTAGACATATTTTTGTATTAAATGAGTTTTTCGCCTCAAAACAGATGAATAAAATTATTATTCATAAGCCTGAGTAGATAGTGCCTAGGATTAGTGGGGTAATAAATCATGTTGACAGGTGACGTTATCTTGACAGCTGTCAATCAAGATAACGATCTTAATGGATTTTTGACGTGTGCTGTCAATCAAGATAATGATCTTAATGGATTTTGATTACTCATAATTTAATTTTTATTCGCGAACGTAATTAAATTAATTATATCATTATTAAATTTAATTAGATCACTATGAATTTGATATCGGAATTAAATAATTTAAATTTAAATATATATTTTTAATTGTGTATTGCGGGTTGCATGCATATGTACATAAAGACGATAATGTTTTAAGATTACGCAATTGAATCAATGATTAAAATACTAATTACACCATCATTAATTCATTCTGAATATAATACGATTTGATGTGGGTTAATATCTGAAGCGTTTTGATAATTCTTTGATCGATTGCATTATTAACTAAAAATTAGATCGTAATGACCATTAGCCCGTGCCAATAGCTCAATAATGATGACGCACTCTATGCAAGCGACTCATCATCTACAAGCAGAGACTTGTTTCTGCATGTATTTTCTTGTTATACCCATTCTCCGAAGTCATTAATCACTAGCCCCACGGCAACATCTCATTATGATGTTTGTCCATTAGCTTTTTGTTATTAAAGACATACCGACGACGCACTTTTTGCAGACGAGTCATCATCTACAAGCACAGACTTGTTTCTGCATGTATTTTCTTGTTGTACTCCCTCTCCGAAGTCGTTAACCACTGTATATAAATAGAAGAAGGGTGATGAATACACATTTTACTCTTAGTTGTTGTGTCGCTTCAGCTGGTGTTTCGTTTTGCAATTCTACCAAGTGTCAGTTGTGTCTGATTGTTTGTTATTATTATTAGTTGTTGCAGTGCTAGTGTCTGTGTAAATAATAATAAGGTAAGTTATAATAACTCTGTTTTATTTATTAAAGGTTAGTAATTTTTTTTGTTTGTTTGTGTAGATAAACATGTACGGATTTAAACGTTCTGGTGATATTCCCGAAGAGTTGTCACAAGTCATCAAAAGGAGAAAGAAAAACACCAGTGCAGGTGTGGATCTTCACGCACAAGAAGAACGTTCCTTGGTTAACGTCGAAGACGCTGTACATACCAAACACCAAAACATGATGAAGAGCAATCCTCCTCTGAAAATGGAAACATCTGAAATCAGTCTCCCATCTTCTCCCGAGCCACCGCGTGCAATGGAGGGTGAATCTATGATAACTGTTGATGAATGGAACAATGTCGAGCAGTCAATCGATGCAGCGGCGAAAGCTTTGGAGAAAGAGAAGCTACGAAGAAAAGTAACAAATGAAAAGTATCGATTGGTTGATGAAACAATTTTACCATTGACTAGATCCGGTAGCAAATTTATAAGTATCGGTATGCAACCATTCAAGGATTACGAACCAGTAATCAAGATGTACAATCCGAGCCTCACAGCTGCAGCCGTTTTTAATCATCAAGAATTTATCGAATTTCTGGAGAAGCTGGAGCTCACAGAGGACAAAATTCGTGATATTCCGAAAGATGTGATGCTGTTCGAAACAAGGAAGTATGACGTTATTCTAAAGAAGGGGATGGTATTGCAGTTCAAATCAACAAGTGAAGAAGATGTATATCAATCTCTTTTTCTACAACACGCTACGATTGGAACTCTGTTGGCTCTAAAAGAATATTTCTTGGGGCATTTGAGACAGCGTGCATTTAAACAGAAGTTACTACCTGATTACGACCAATTTGTAACAAACGTTGCTTTACATCTGATGGAACATGGAAATAGTGATTCTGATAAAGGAGTGGACAAGGCTATCATCACAATCATCCAGGACACCTATGAACATGATCCGATGTTATACGACATGTGGATGAAGACACCTTATACTATAAAATCTCACATAGAAAAGAAGTTAAGCTATTTCACTCTACATAATGATTTTAATTGCCCCTCTGTTGTGTAAAATAAATAAATAAATAAATAAATAAATAAATAAAATGAGCAATCTAGTTTTTCTTATTATTATTGTTATATCACTTGTGCACAAAAGGTGTATCTCTATATGAAGTTGTACGTCTCAGTGAAATTCGCATTTTACTCTTTAACCTGTTGGAGAGAACAACTCTTTTACCTGATACAGAAAACAAGTTAAAATGGATTATCAATTCAAAGCACCTTTCACAGCAATAATAGCTGGTCCAACAAGTTGTGGTAAATCTCACTTTGTTCACAGATTTTTAAAGCACTTAAATTATTTGTGTGATACCGTTTTCAAAAAAGTGATTTGGTGTTACGACGAATGGCAGCCATTATATCAAGAATCGCAACTTTTTATCGAGTATCATCAAGGAATACCGGATATGTCCACATTTGATGGATCCGAACCGGTGCTTATGATATTAGACGACCTAATGCGTGAGACGAATGCAAGCATTGTGGATATTTTTACAAAAGGTAGTCATCATCGTCAAATTAGTGTATTTTACATAACGCAAAATTTATTTCACCAAGGCAGAGGCCAAAGAGATATATCTCTTAACGCCAATTACATAATATATTTCAAGAACCCAAGAGATCGCGCTCAGATCACTTATTTGGCTAGACAGATATTTCCCGAAAACGTAAAATTTATACAAGAGGTTTATAAAGATGCAACATCGAAACCTCATACGTATTTACTAATTGACTTAAAGCAGGACACACCAGATGATTACCGCATTCGGACGAATATTTTACCTGACGAAGAACCAACTTTTGTCTATTTGCAAAAAACACATAAAAATAGCAAGTTGCGATAAAAAAAATCATTTGGCTGTGAGATGTCGCGCACGTTACACAATAACGCTCCGCTTTTAAAATTTCTTCACAAAACAAAACCTCAATATAGAAAAGCAGTTTTAGCGTGTGCAGACAAGGAGTTAATACATTGCATATGTGAGTGTGCGCACAATACTTTATTAGGGAAAGTTCCTTTATCGAAAACGCAGAAAGCTAAGTTAGGAAAATATAAAAAAACTTTGCGTCAACTGGTTAAGCGACGAATTTCCAGAGGGGAAAAGAAAAAATTGTTAGTACAAAAAGGCGGAGCATTCCTACCATTGCTACTTGCTCCAATTATCTCTGGAGTTTTGGGAGGACTTTTGAATAAATAAACAGATAGATACATTCGTTTAACAATGGAACACGCTAAGAAAATGGTATTGGTAGATCCGTCGTTACTGGAGAAAATGAGCCAATTTCAAAAAAACGCACCCGATCCGATATCGCGCTTCGATCAAGAAATGCAATTAATATTAAATAAAAGAAACGACGACCGTGAGAAGTGGTTGTTGTACAATCAAATTCTTCAAAAATATTTAAATGTATTGAATCACACTCGAAGGCCTGTCGAACTACCCATGATAGAAGATTCGGTAAAACAAAAGAAAGAAATAGTTGACTCTGATGACGGTTTCCAAAATATTGTATCAGTTTTACCTAAATCGTGTTCAAGTAAAGCTTTGCTCTTACTTCATAAGTTAAAAGACGGCGGAGTGACGTGGAGTGACAACGGCGTCGTCAGTTTTGAAGGACGCAGTATAGAAGATTCGAATATAATCGATCTAGTGTATGACCTTGTACGGAGTAGTAGATCAACAACGGAACCCAAAGGTTGGGAGGAATTTGTAAACGTGCTCAAACAAGTAAACGTTCCACGTGTTTTAATTGCAAATCAGAAGCGATTACAACAACTTAATAAGATTTTATCAAGAGAACAGAGGTTAGACGCTGAAGAGCCAACGTCGACAGAAGTGGTCCCAGATGTTAAAAAAAAAAATAGCCGCATATCAGATGCTGTAACACCCGTATCAAGTTCAATTGGGAATAATACAACGAAATCTAAGAATCGACGAAAGATTAAGTGGTCACCTTATACGCCATGAGTATACCGGATATGCTTAATAGACGGTATTATACAACAACGGACCCTATCAGTTTTTCCGGAATAAATAAAATTCGTAAAGCCACAAACTTGCCGCATCAACGCATTCAGGATTGGCTCGAAAAACAAGACGCATACACCTTACATAAGCAAATTCGTCGCAAGTTTAAGAGAAATAGGTATTTAGTGACGAATATCAATGACTTATTTCAGGCTGATTTGATTGACATGAGAAAATTAGCATCGTATAATGATGGTGTGAAGTATCTATTGACTGTCATTGACGTGTTCTCTAAGTTCGCTTATGTCATACCGTTATACAGTAAATCTGGTTCTGATGTAGCTGCAGCTTTTGAAGAAATTTTTACCGAACAAATCCCGGGCAATGTACAGACCGATAAAGGAAAAGAGTTTTTAGCTAAAAATGTTCAAAAACTGTTTAAGAAGAACGATATAAACTTTTACGTTGCGAAAAATCCCGACGTAAAGGCAGCCGTTATTGAACGTTTTAACAGAACATTAAAATCAAAAATGTACAAATACTTTACTCATGCAAATACTTTTAAATACATAGATGTTTTACAAAATTTTGTCGTTTCTTACAACAATACCTTTCACCAAACTATAAAAATGGCTCCTGTTGACGTAAATTCCGATAATATCTTGGAAGTTTATCACAATATTAAAAATTCCACGTCGACTGTTAGCAAAAGAAGTCGTACGAAGAAATATAAAATTGGTGATTACGTTAGAATCGGTAAATATAAGCATGCGTTTGAGAAAGGTTATGAGACAAATTGGAGTGGGGAGATTTTTAAAATTACGGATGTAATAAATCGAGACCCTGTAGTATATAAAATCAGTGATATTATGAACGAGCCTATAGAGGGTGTTTTCTATCATCCCGAACTTCAAAGAATAAAGTACAACCCGGACGACGTGTTTCAAGTTGACAAGGTTTTGAAAAAGCGTTATAAAAACGGTCGCTGTGAAGTATTCGTGCAGTGGAAAAATTACCCGAAAAAATTCAACAGCTGGATCCCGATTGAAACTCTAACGCAAATATGAATAATTCAGACGAGTTTTATCTTACGCTCTTGTCTAATAGTTCCCTGAACTATTTTCCAAAAAATACATCGGCCAATTTTTGTACGCAACTTCCAAAAACTATACATTTAGAAGGAGAGTGGTGTGTTGGTTTATCAGAAATACAGTTACCGTGTTCATTTTTCACTGTCAACGATGGTGAAAATGTTATATATTGTGAATATAAAATTATCATTAAAAAGAAATCAAACAAAGCTGTCTTGGCTGGTTATTTTAACGATGAGAGACTATCGGCCTGGATAGATAGTAACGTATCGCGAGGGTATACATTAGAAAAATTGTTATCAAAATTTGAAAATCTGAATAAACCAATTGAAATACACGCTCACTATAAGACTAAGATAGATGCGGGTAACTACGAGTCAGTAGAGGGAATCTTAAAGGCGCTAAATGAGGTTAATATTTTGCAAAAAGATTGTGTTGAATTTCGACTAAACAATGGTAGTAAACGTATACATGTAGCGAGCTCTAGCACTGAGATGACTTCTTTAAGGTTATCGTCGAAACTAAGTTTACAATTGGGGTTCGAGCCCGATGTTAACATTCTGAATAAAATCTCTACATACCCTAGTAATATATTATTGGGTTTACCATCGCAACTGTTTATATACAGTGATATTATAGAACCTCAACTGATTGGTGATGTTTTTGCAAAAGTTTTGCGGATTGTAGTAGTGGATAACAACAAGTATACGTATGGTACGCATCGAGTACAGTTCTTTTCGCAGCCTCATTATACTCCTGTGCTAAAAAGAGAATTTGAACATATCGAAATTGATATAAGGACAGCTACTGGAGAGCGCACGCCATTTCAGTTTGGGACTGTGTGCGTGAAACTTCATTTTAAAAGAATATTATAATGACCTGTCATTACCACGATTACTACATAGGTCAGGCCGGTTCAGGTGTAGGATCCATTTATAAAGGCGCTGTTTACCAAAAAGGTCGAGGTTTTGGTAGTTTTTTAAGAGGATTATTTCGAACAGTTTTCCCGTTAGTAAAAAGTGGTTTGAAAACTATTGGTAAAGAAGCACTTCGTTCTGGATCATACTTCATCAACGACGTTGTAAACAACGTACCACCGAAAGAGGCATTCAATTCACGTGTATCAGAGAGTGTGGGTAATTTGAAACGCAAAGCAGAAACAAAAATCGACGATCTCGTCGGTTCAGGTGTTACAAAAAGACGTCGCCGCAAACAATCACGTCAGATGCGTTTGCCAGTCCGCAGAGTAAAGAAGTCGTCGCGATCGTCAGATATTTTTGATTGATTAATTTTTTTAATATTACGAGCAATGGCTTTTCTACATCCGCGAAGTTGTGAGTGCATTAAAACAGAATTGGATTTATTTGCTTTACCTTCAACACAAACCAGTATCGAGAGTGGGCAATGGATCGAGTACAAAACATTGTCAAGTATTTCAGACGATGCACCTTTAGAATTTATGATCAGCAGCGGCGATGAATATATTGATTTATCCCAAACGTTGATATCGCTTACTGTGAAAATAACTAAAGAGGATGGTACAAATCTACCCGACGACATTAACATTGCGCCCGTAAATAATATTTTACACTCTATGTTTAGTCAAGTCGATGTTTACCTAAATCAAAAACTAATTTCGCCGCCTAACAATACATATGCGTATAAATGTTACTTAGAAACACTTCTAAATTACGGACCAGCAGCCAAAAAATCACATTTAACATGTGGATTATGGTACATCGATACACCAGGAGATATGGACACGGCCGATGGAATAAAAAATATCGGCTTTAAAGCTAGGAATCATTTCACAAAGAAAAGTCAGCAAATTGATTTAATTGGTCACTTAAATTGTGATATATTTAATCAAGAAAAATTTCTGATCAACGGTGTCGAGCTACGTGTAAAGTTTGTAAGGTCTCGGAACAGTTTTGCTTTGATTGGAGCTGATGGTACTACGGGTAAAGTGAATATTGTGGATGCAACACTGTTGGTAAGACGTAATAAAATAAATCCAACTGTCATGTTAGCTCATGCCAGAGCTTTGGAGATGACAACTGCCAAATACCCTATAACGAGAACCGAAATAAAAGTTTTAACAATACCGCAAGGGGTCCAAAGTAAAACACTTGACAACATTTACTTGGGGCAGTTACCTAAACGATGTACTGTAGCGTTCGTTTCCAATAGAGCTTTTAATGGGGACTTTACACTAAACCCCTTTAACTTTCAACATTTTGATATGAATTATTTATCGTTATGTGTTGACGGTCAGCAAATACCCAGCAAACCTTTACAACCCACCTTTAACGGACATAGCAAGAAATTTATCAACATGTATCATACGTTATTTTCTGGTACCGGAATTCATTTTATGAACGAGGGCAACGGACTTCGCAGAGAAGACTACCCCAACGGTTATTGTATCACTGTGTACGACCTAACACCCGATCTATCTGGAGCGTCACCATTACATTGGAATCTGATTAAAACCGGTAGCTTACGTTTAGAAGTACGATTTAATACTGCTTTAACGGAGACAATCAACTGTTTAGTGTACGGCGAGTTTGATAGCGTTATAGAAATTGACAAAAAGCGTAACATCATAATCGACTACGGAAGTTAAAATGTGCCGTCGAAGGACTGTATGGTTATTTGTTGTGTAGCTGTTGACCTGTTAGCATCGAAAAATGTGTGTGTTGTTTCTTGATTACCAAGGCTTCTTGATTGAAAGAAAGAGTTTCTTCATTAAAGAATTGGCAATTCTTGATTTTCGTAAATCAGAACCAGAACATTACCTGTTTAAACCACCCGAAGACATTTCAACTTTACCGCATAGTTATCAGAAGCAAGCAGATTGGGTAACAAAACACTGCCACGGTATTTCATGGTGTGCGGGTGGCGTCGCATATGAAGAAATACCTAATATTTTAACAAAATTGTCGGAGATAGATTGTTGTGTTTATGTAAAAGGATTAGAGAAAAAACGGTATATTTCTAAACTGTTACCGAAGAATGTTATCGTAAACATAGAGGACGAACTTGACTGTATACCAACGGTGAAAAAGTTACCCGAACCAAAAGTTTGTGACTATCATCGTGATTTAACCAACTTTAACTGTGCTGTACAAAACGTACAAACCCTAAAAGAAATATACAATGAATACTATGCAAATCAAGTCTTGTCTATCGAAGATACAGAAGTTGAAGAGGTGTCATGTTCTTGTTTCTGCTAGCAATACGCTTCCATTTTATGTTAGCAAACCATCATTCATCGTTGTGAACGAAGATCCCGACTTCATGCCAGGCAGTCACTGGGTGGGTATTTATATAGATAAATACGGATATTCATATTTTTTTGATTCGTTTGGACGGAATCCTAAGGGGACTATTTTAAATTTTATACTGAGGAATAGTCTTATGTACACTTACAACACTAAACAAATTCAACATCTGATGTCGGATGTTTGTGGAAAGTATTGTATATTGTTCCTTTTAAATTACGCCCTTGGTAATAATGTAGATCAATTTATAAATATGTTTAGCAGTAGTTACAAAAAAAACGATGTTATTTGTGCAAAACTTTTTAAACAGTATTTTAAATAAATTTTAGCCTTTCTCTAAAATTGTCTTTTATTTTATTCACACACCAAACACAAAGAAAACACGGGCTGCGTGAGGCGCGGCGAGGAGGGCGGGCGGCGGGCGGCGGGGCGCGGGCGCGGGCGGGGCGCGGACGGCGGGGCGCGGGCGCGGGCGCGGGCGCGGGCGGGGCGCGGACGGCGGGCGCGGGCGCGGTCGGGGCGCGGACGGCGGGGGGCGGGCGCGGGCGCGGTCGGGGCGCGGACGGCGGGGGGCGCGGACGGCGGCGAAAAAAAAAGTGTATGAATGAAAAACAATATTTATTTCACAATTTTTAGTAAATACATCATTTCGCAAATAACTACGTACAAATAAACATCCAAACTTACATTTAACGGTACAAAAAAAAAAAAGAAAAATGTATACACATATAATTAAAAAAACATTATTCCAGGGATGTACATATTATTATTGCTAAAATACTAAAGCGCTCCTTTGTACCCGTACGGGAGCGTATCGTACGAATTGCTTAACCTACGACGTTTAGTATAGTTTACTCTATACTTTTTTGTTGCGTCTTTCGTTAATATATTAAAAAATTTATCTTTAAAAATTTGTTTATCGATTACTTCGACCACGTTTGGAGCCTCTTTATCCAGAATCATCGATTTTAATACGTTAAAATTAACTTTTTGATTATTGGAGTAGTGTAGAGTTATACCCTTCACCTTACACACTGGCTCAATTATCCCTTTGTTAGCATTCAAGAATTCATAGGCGTAATTTTTAGGTCCGCCGCTCACAAATTCCGTAATGTAACTACCTGGACCATAATCAGCTAATTCGTCGGTTAGCTGGCCTAAAAAGTCGCCGGTATCAGGTACCCATTCGTCTGGTTTGGCAGTGAAGAAAACACTGTCAGTGTCGTAATATAATACTCGTCGTCCCAACTTTTCCAAAAAATGATAAAGAACTAATCGTGCCGAAGCAGTAGTATAACTAGCGATAGCTACATTAGTGGTGCTAGAAGCCAATATATCCTCCTCCACGCGCTCCCAATTTACTAGGAGTACTTCAGGGTTGATAACGGTTAAGTTATTGACGCAACGACCGGGTGATGCAAACATTTCGAACAGCTTGTAAGGCTGATCAATGATAGCAGTCTGCTGCAGATTTTGTCTCTGCCCGAATTTGCCCCAAAATGAATTGAGCATTAATTTGGCCAAGAAACGTAACCCTGGATTCTTGCATATTTTGTTTTTTTCTAATTTAACCCCCTCACGATCGTAATACTCGCGAATGTAGTTGTCTTTCTCGTGTTCTGTATTACACCATGTAGGCCACCCGCTACACTCTTGCTTTATTTTTAAAAACGTGTTTACGTACTCCGAAAACAACCCACCTGTTTTAGTTTCTGGGTCGTATTTTACGGTGTCGTATTCCCATATTTCAAAAATTTCGATAATTCTGTACTTTAACTCCAAAGCCTTACGCAACTCGTCTGCAACGAAAGTACCCGTAAACTGACGCTGTCCGTCGTTGTGCGGGCAATCTTGTTCATACAGGGTTTCAACACACGTTTTGCAAAGAGGAAAAGTTAATTTACCATTACATTTGTACGGCAGAACAGGGTGATACAACGAAACAGGTGGTAAAACAATACATTTAATAAAACCATGGACTTTGTTTAGATCGACTTTTACGCATTCTGGATGGCCGACATGAATGGCTGTAGGATGACCGACAGGGTACCGACCGTACTTGTTTACGTACGGGTACAACGAGCAAACATCGAAATACAGTATTCTCTCGCCTGGTTGACATTTGTAATATAACTGTGACGCGTTCGTACGACCACCGTAAAAACTGTCGCGCGGATTGAGGGGTGTGTTTTTTGAAAATAAATGATTATCTACAAACTGCTTTAGTTCCCGGTTTTCCGTTATTTGTTTACGAAAATCACACTCCCATATTACATTCAAATTATAGCCGTTATTTTTGATGCGTTCGTTTTTAAATATAGTTCGTTCATACCGCGTAACCATCAGCTCATTTCTGTCGGCCAATTCAGAATCAAAATCGGGAAAGCATCTAGGGCACCCATGCCAGAAGCATCCGGAAAATTCAAAAACGGTGTTTGTTTCGCTGCAAAATCCGTCGACCACGATATTTTCTCGCAAACGAACCTCTGGACCATTTCCAGCGTGCTTAATTCGGCATTGCAATGTATACTCTTGCCATAGTAACCAAGCTATCGCTATCTTACTATGCCGATCCCTACCTCTATAACCCCCTGTAGGTATAATACCTATTGTGTTGGGTTTTAAAAAGTTTCTCCTAAATACGAGATTACATGATGACGCAATAGTTATACACTCTAACAAAGGGTCTACATTACAGCTCTCCGTAAAACATTCGCGAAATTTCAAACACCCTCTCCTCAAAATATCAACATCGGATACACAATATTTTATTATCTCATTTTTCATGGTGAATACATAATTATCGGCAACTTGCCGACGATGCCAGTCCATGAAATCTCTGCGTTCGTTCTTTTTCATGACATCACAACCGTAATACTCGACTGATGGTATGTCTCCGGTGTAATTTTGATTCTCTAACGTGTTGAAATAATGAGGAAAATATCCTTTACCACCTTCTAATTTAAAAGTTTTAGGAAATGACGCCAGTGGTAGCTGAATAAAATTCAAACTGTCTATGAACCGTATCGAACCACCGCATGTTATCGATAATATTTTCATACCTTGCTTTATAACTTTTGGCTGCCAGCGTGATATATTCGAAAAAATGTGTTGTAGTATAAAAGCTCCGTCGAAATTTTTCATGTTGTGTGCAATGGCTGTCACAGCGAAAATCTTTGACATTTTGGCAATGTGTTCCATGAGCTGTGATACAGGCTCATTATTAAAAATGTATTGGCGTTGACCACATACACCACAATTTTCGCTCATATCATCGTTCGACAAGCACTTTTTACATATTTGCTGCGTTACACATAGATTTGGTTCATGCAGAAACAATTTTTCACCAATTTTTTTCTCTTGTCTCGTTTCAAAATCAAAAAAGATGAAAAGAAAATTATTATTTCTACCAAAATGTGCTTCATTGTTGTTACGCGTAACTTTGCAAGGGTGCATGTAGCAATCGTGCCTAATATCCTTATCCTCTTTGCATGTGTTACAAAATTTTTTTCCACACTTGTGAGTACTCTTTTTTTTGTTTTTTGGTGTAATCTCGGCGTGACAAGTACTACAACGCTTTATACGATCGCAAGTCTTGGCTTTTTTATGTTTATTTAAACAAATCTCCCCTTTAAAAACCCTGTTACACATATTACAACTTATTACATTTGGGTCGTCGTTACATGGAGGCGACGTTAGGCAACACGGGCATTTAAACGGACAATTTTTATGGCGTTCTTGCTGGGAATACTTCGTCAGACAATATTCGCAGAAAAATCGCGTTGCGAATGCACCAGTCAAACTTAAAATTACATTATAATGTTGATCTTCCAATAAAAGGTTAATCCTCGGCTTGTTGATATTATAATCCCCTTTAAAATATACCGACGTTCCGTCGCGTTTATTATAAACAACTATTATATAATCTTCTTTAAAGTAATTTTGAAACCGCTGAATTTCAGCGTGTCCGCCCCCATGTGTTATATCAACATTTACTCTTTGACAAAGTGCCTGAGCTAGATTTAGCAAATCTATTTTACCCTTTTTTGTTTTAAATTTCTGTAGCACCTTTCTATTGCAACCGTTAGCCGTATACTCAATAGCAACAATTAGAGACGCCGCTAGGCAAAAATTGTTCACATCCACAACAAAAATGCTGTTTTTTGCGATACAAAATTCTTTAAAATTCACGCACTTACCATCCAGTGCGGAAAATCCTCTACCTAGTGGCATATCAATCACATCTATGCGGATAGTCATCTTATCGTTAGCGAAAAAGCTAGCGTTGCTTTGAATGATAGCGCTAATGATGTCCATCACCACGTCCGCGCTCAGCTGTGAT